AAAAAGAAAGGTAAATGATGATTCATCGTCGCTTATCAATGCTATGAAGGAAGAAAACAAAAGACTTGTTGAGGAGATGAAAAATACAAACGATCAAATAAAACATCAATTGGAAATACGCGACAGATCTCACGCTTTAAAAGAAATGAGGGAAGAAAATAGAATTCTGCTTCAAGATGTCAGTTCCATAGCAGATCCTAGAGTTCGAGCATACGTTGAAGCTGAAAAAGCACGAATCTTGGAGAAAAGAGCTCAACAAGCCCAATCCGATCCATTTCCAACCAATACATTTGGCCAATTTTTCAATGATCTTGGAGGAAGCGGTGCCAACTTACCAGATTACTAAATTCTCGTACTTGTTTTTTAGTTTGTGGCTTTATGATGTATTTTTATTTTAGTACTGTGTGATGTTGTATTTCATTTCAGCACTTGTTATTTAAATGGTTTTCTTTAAATCGTAATGTATCACGTTTTAATGTTATTTTAATCTGTATTAGTAATGTTGTTGTTATTTAATATTAGTGTTTTCTTTTCTTGTTAAATAAAAATACCATAAATGATATGTATATTTTATATTATTATTGTGAAATATATAGAATTAAATAATAAATATAATATTTATTATTTTATATTAATATGGTTTGTATTTTTTTAAAAATATACTAATAATATAATAATAAAAAATGAATAAAACAAACAATAATTAATAATACTAAATATAATATATACACATATATATAATATATTATATAATATTTGGCTTGATATCTAATTTATATTAAATATTGGATCATTATGCAATTATTAAAAGTTCAAACGCAAAAGATTTGCGTTGAACGCAAATTTGCGTTTCACCGAGGAGAGAGAAAGGCAAAAACGGATTTTGGGATGGGTTTTGCAGTACGGTTGGGCCAAATTCCCCTCATTTTTTGCGTTATGCGAATCGGTTGGAGAAGGTCTTAGTTTTGTGTCCTAACTAAAGGTTTACTTCATGGGCATTTGCAATCAAACAAATACTTAAAATAAGTAAGCAATTAGATAAAGGTGTATAGTTTTAAATATAAGGCTTTCCAAACTCACAAGTCATCTTTTGTGGCTTTGACAATTTCATGTTCCCCACTAAAACCAACACAAGCAATATAGTTTTATGCACCCAATTTCAACTCAAGCATATATAAACTATATTTCCCACATTGAAATCCATAAGTTTTTTTTTTAGTCAGATTTGTAGCCTTTGTATGTGGGGGAAGATGACCATACATTTGAGGACATAAATCAAAGCTGTCAATCTGCCATGAAGAGAAATAATTAGAATTTTTATTAGTACAATTTTGTTGTATCTCAGTTGTAAGAATTGAGCATTGGGTTTTAGGCATTTGTATCTATAAAGAATTTGAAGGGATTTCAATCTTGTTTGTATCTTTGGATATGGTTTGCAGTGATATTCTGAGCTAGGGAGACAGAACATTTCAGGTCAATTACATCAGAGCATCATCCGTGTCTGGAGCTGGCTCAAGGCAAGGGCAAATGGCTCTTATTTCCCCAATCATCTGGCGTTTAAAAGTTTTTCTCAACATTTGATTTGACCAAAAAATTGTGTCCGGCTAACCCCATGCCAAGGTTGTGTTTGAGAAATCTAACTCTGATAAGTTAGCTTATAGTAATAAGTTAATTCGAACTTATAGTTGATAGTTTATGGTTGAGGGTTGAAAAGCTAGCTGCTATGATAAAAGTGTTTGGTAAAATTAGTTGATAAATCAGTTGAAATAAAAATTTTAACCGATTTATTTGAAAAGCTATTTTAAGGAAACTTATGAGATAAAGTCGAACTTTTTTAAATAGTTTATCATACCAAACTAAATTTACTTGCGTACAAGAAACTTATAAGCTAATCAAATAAACTATAAGCTAGCTTATGTTGCTTACCAAACACAATCTATAAAAAGAGGGAAACATGATGATGTTAGCACTCTCATGGCAAAAATAGTTGAAAGCAATTCCTTACCAGGTCCAATCCAAATTTCCCACCCTTTAAAACCAATTCAAAATCCTACTGTAATCTCCAAATGAATGCCATATAGAAAATTGAAAGTCTCCCAACTCCATATAAATTTTCATGATCATCCAACAATCCTCACACCAGAAATTTCGTGCCTACACTTGCATACAAACCCATGTATATGTGTGAACATATATGATCCAACGGTGAAAAATCCACGTGGAAATTTGCATACAAAAGTCAGAAGAATTTTTAAAAAGAGAGAGACAATCTAAGAGTGAATTGAACACAAACACAAACTCTCTCTCTCTCTCTCTAAAGTTTCAATTATAAATAGGACAACCAATTCACATCTTTTTTCTCTCATTATCATTTACTTCCACCCCCACTTGGGCCCCCCTAAAAAACAAGCCAAGCCATGAATCTTTATATTAAGCTGAGGAAAATAAGCAAAAAAGCAAGAAAACCAGCCAGAGAATAAGATTTTCTTTTATTTTATTTTTTTCTTTTCATTTGTTTCTTTTTCTTCTTTTGGTTTTGCTGTCAATGGAGTTTGATCTTGAGGACCCTCTGCCACCTTCTAATGAAAACTTCCCCTCACTGTTTAAAATGGAGATTGATCAAATGCCCTCCAAGACTTATTCTCAGGCCTTCACCTCACAAGCTTCTGCTAACCTCTCTGTTCGCCATGAAATGGTTGGCTCAATCTCCCGTTTTTTTCGAGTAAATTCGACCCGTTTTTGACGTATCTTGCTGTTAACTACATGGACCGATTTCTTTCAACTTGTTCGATACCGGTAAGTTTGATCTTTATTCTGTTTGTTTCGGTGTTTTTCATCCTTTTTGAAGGTAAACTCACAGAAATAATCAAGAATGTGGCCACGCTCGTTCGCTCCACACCCATTATATTTCAAGATCTTTTTTTTTTCTTTTTCTTTTTTTTACATTTTGTTGAATTTAAGGTAAAATTGATGCTTGTGGTTTAATCGAATCTTTGTTTGTCCAGGATGGAAAGCTGTGGATTTTTCGTCTAGTGGCAATTGCTTGCGTCTCGTTAGCACTGAAAATGAGGAAAACAGAGTTCTCTGTTTTTGACCTTATTGTAAAATCTCTTAACTTTAGTGTTTTTGTTCCCTTGTTTTTTTTGTTTTTTTTTATTTGTTACACTATTTATTTAATTATTTATTATTACTCCTTTTCTTTCTTATGGGGGTTTGGCAGCAAGATGGAGGCTTCATGTTTGATTCGGCCACGATCCAACGGATGGAAATGCTTATTCTCGGAGCTTTAAAATGGCGCATGAGATCTGCAAATCCATTTTGTTTTATGAACTATTTCATTACATTCTTAAAGTCCAACAACAAGCCTTCCGTTGAGCAACTGAAGCAAAGGGCCACCGAGATTATCTTGAAAGCGCAAAATGGTTCGTGTTATCATTTCATCATAATAATTCACCGATTATTATCCTTTTACGGAAAATTTATTCGCTTTGTAGACGTCAAATTGCTCAAGTTCAAGCCGTCAATTATCTCAGCTTCGGCCCTTCTGTGTGCCGTTAATGATCTGTCCCCATTTCAGTTCCCATCCTTTAGAAATGCTGTTTGCAGCTGTTCTTATGTAGATAAGGTATTATAACAAATCACAACAAATCTAATACTATTTGTGACATTTAACTTTTTATAAATTCCAATCTGTTTGGTCCCGATTTTTCGTAATAATAACTATTGTTGTGATTGAGTGGTGAATTGCTGTATCGGAAATGCTTATTGGCATTTTACTATGAAGTACTTCTTGAAGGTTACTAAGCGTTGGAAATTAATTAAAGTTCTTGAACTTATATATCGTCTTAAGTTTTCTTTTACTGATTAGAATCGTTTTATTTTATTATACAGGAGGATTTTCTGCTGTGTTATGAACATATACAAGAAGTAGCAACTGAAGGTTACGAGTCGTTGTGGGCCCGGACATCGAGTTCCTGCACACCTGTCAACGTGCTGGACGTGCACGTTTTGAGCTCTTCGATTTCAGGCTCGAAAAGCAGTAAATAAAAATGCTGGTGAAAATTTGGCTTGCCTGGAAAATGATAGATAGATAATGTGAATAAGAAAAGGGGCTTATTTGAGGAAGATAAGGTGTCTCTGTGTGTGTGTGTGTGTTTTGATGGTTGAATTTAAGGTTAGTCCGGACAAAATCCAGTATTGTCTTAGTTAGGTTTGGTAAATTAATTCTAATTTGCTGTTGAAAAAGCGGGGTTTTATGAATCTAAGTCGCCATCGTTTTCTACTTTTCTGCGAGTTTAGCTGTTTATGCGTTTGCTGCATATTTGGATTTGCATGAGTTAATGTGCGGCCCACCAGTAAGAAATACTCTTTTTGTTAGTAAGGACTACAATTTTAGGGCTCAATTAGATATTAAAATGCATCAGAAATTTATCGAGTTGAGATGTACACATAAAATAAAATAATTAATTTTATCTCATTTCACTTTTGTTCTCTAGAATTTCCTTGCACATTGAAAAAACAAAAATCAAATGTTATTTTATATATATATATATATATATATATATATTCTATTCACCCACCTACATATTTCTAGCTAATTACTAATCACTGTTAATCAAGTTTCTATTAATTTTATATCATGACACTTTAATTATTTCTTCTAAGAAAGTGTGAACGGTTATGCGAATGTGTTTCGCACTTTTAACTTTTGCACAATATTATCGCATATTTGTCATATATTCATCGCATAACATCTTCACACTTTATGAGGTGAAAAACTTAATTGTGTCTTTCGCACAATGTCATCGCATAACTGTCTCATATTCATCGCACAATATCTTCACATTTTTTGAGGTAGAAAGGTTAACTTATATATGAGCGAAATGTGTGAAAAAACTTAATCTATCTTCAGAGCAGTGAAAATAGTTGTTTTTTCAAAATAAAAAAAAAAAAAATATATATATATATATATATCATATTTTAATTGCAGAAAAGAGCAACTCTTCAGCTTATATTCTTTAGATAGTCAATGTACGCAAATTCAGAGGCTCAAAATCAATAGTCATTCTGTGCATATTCAGAAGCAGAAATTTGATGTTTGCAACTTGCAAACGCTAAAATCACCTTTGTTCGATCGAATTACAAAATATGTTCAAACATAAGCATGTTTTATTCTAGTAAATAGTGTAATAAAACATTCATCATTGACAAATTTAAAATATCACATCTTGCAATTTATATGCACATAGATTTTTTTTTTAATATTATTATTATTATTCCCTCAAACAATAAACCCTAGCTATTTTCTTTACTTCCAACTTCTAGCTAAACAAATTTATCCCATGATCAAAGTAGTCAAACAAAGGTTCATAGTCCCCTCCCACTTCCTCTTGTGGAAAATAGCTATAGCTACTTTGACTTTGCAAACTCGACACATTCGACTCGAATAATGGCTCGCTCCAAAAATCCGATTTCGCATTCGAATAAGAAGCGTCGCCCGAGTTCGATAACCCACCATAACCAAACTCAGGATAGAAAAAATCTTCCTCGGGCAATGGCAGGTAGTAATTACCGTTTTGACCATAGGTAGCACTGTCTGCCAAAAACGAGTCGGGCCATGAATCCACCTGGCCGGGCTCGTTTACCGAGAATAAGGAAGTGGATTCATTTTGACCCGTTTCGAAGGAAGTGGAATATTCTTGAGATTTGTCTTCATTCAAATCTTGATCCTCATCAGTGGAAGTTTCGGTTGTGGTTTGTCGTGTGTCGATCTTCTCTGCTGGCGGTGTACTGTTTTTCCGGGTTTTCCCAATGCGCGCATGCCAAAAGTTCTTGATTTCGTTATCGGTTCTTCCAGGTAGCTTTGTTGCAATGGCTGACCATCTGCATTGATATACAATACACTACAAATGTTAGTCCAACTGAAATAATGAAAATCTAGTAAGTTAAGCTCTAAGGAAAAAAATGACTTAATTATACATTACATGCTCCAAAATATCATACTCTTAAGAAACAACATAAGAAAAAATGACAGTACAGATGTACATTTTTTGTTTGAAAAATTGGTTGACCGTTACTTTAAAAAAAAATATAAACAAAAACGACGTTATATAGAAGTACATTATCCTCCATATATCGAAAAACACGATAAATCGACCCGTCTAACCGTTTGACAAATCCTAATAACAGAATTTGATGATCTTACTTATTCCCAAGCTGGGCATGCAATTCAATGATGAGTTCTTCTTCTTCCTTAGTGAAGTTTCCCCTTTTGACCCCTGGCTTCAAATAGTTGACCCATCTCAGCCTGCAACTCTTTCCACATCTTGACAAACCTGAAATTAAAATAAACAATACACTTTTTAGCTACTTAATTAACAAACAAAATTACTCTTTTTTTTTTGGACAGCTAAAGAATAATAATAAATGTAAAAGTTAGAAAAGTTCATACCAGCATACTTGGGCAGCAATCTCCAGTTCCAATGGCCATACCTCTGAATGTAAGCCCTTAATTTGTTGTCTTCTTCTTCACTCCACGCGCCTCGTTTTAGGCCATTGCTGTCCACAGAAGCCGGCTTCACCATTTTTTATTTTCCTTTTTTTTATTTTTTGTGTTTTAATTCCGTTTGATGGTTTTGAATAAATTATGATCACTTAACTGAGCAGTGAGCTCACTTGCTATCTCCTTTTATATGTGTTGCATAGTGAGCTGAGCAGAATATACGAAACTACATAGGAAAAAGGGGTAGTATGGGCATATAAAAAAATGTAATAATTTGGATGCACGCGGGGAAAAAAAGGATGTTTTAAATTAAAAGAATTGATTGATTCAGGGATGAAGGAGCACGGAGACTTCTCCAGGTTGCTGACGTCGTCGGGGGCTATATATATATATATATATATTAATTCTGTAATTAATGGGAACAATATATAATATTTTGATAGTTCCGATTTGGTCCCACAGATTGTGCAGACTTTGTTAATATTTAACTCTTTTAACAATGATTTTTTTATTAGTAACATATAAAATGATGAAGATGAAAGTAATAGTACTGAACAGTACACTAATGAGAAAGAACACGTCTTTGACTTATCTCAACATAGGCATTGACTGAAATTTGATTGATACACATCTATACGGATATATATTTCAATCGTTTCCATCTGAATAAATCTTCTCCTTGATTTAAATAGATTAAGTTTTCGCCCTTGGACTTAATAGAAGAAAAAGTGTATCTTGTTTCGCAAATAAGGTAAAACTGTAAAATACAAGTACCTAATAAATTTCGGTAGATAGTAAATTTGGCTTTTAATATATAGTATTGAAGAAAATATCTAATATTATATGCAATCATAAAAGTCACTAGTCAAATTTAATATAACTGTGGTAAATGTAGTTAAAAATCTAGTTGATAGTTGGTAAGTTGATTGATAATTTATAAGTAAATTTTGAGCTTATAGCTAATAACTTATGACTAACGGTTGAAAAACTAGCTGATATAATAAAAATGTTGAATAAAATCAGCTGATAAATCATATGAAATAAAAAAAAAAAATCAATATGATTTTTTTCAAGAACTATATATCTAATGAAGCTTATGATATAAGGTTTTAAAAAGAATTAATTTCATCTTGCTAAATCAAATTTAATTAGATAAAAGAAATTATAAGCTAATTAAATTAGCGATATGCATTTATATGTCTAAATATACTGAATGTATTTTGCAATTTTGCTTCATAAAAATCGTTAGCATAGTCTCACAATATCAGCTGGTGAAGCACTTGTCAGCACCCAAAACTCCTGATATACTTCCATTAAGTTTGATTCAGCAAATGTATATTATCACTATAGTGAAATAATATTATTGACATATAAAGGCTTCATTAGTTCATATATCCAAGAGTAAATTTGAAGAAACAAAAGCCCAAATTTTATTATTATCCAACCCTAATTACTTACATCTTTTGGTTCCATCATAATTCTCACAACCAACTGCAAGACTACTATGTAAGTGATAGTAGTATCTTGAATGAAATATAAATTAAATAGTTTAAATTAAAAGAAAGCAAAAAAAAAAATGTTGGTAATTTTAAACGGGTCAAATAAAACGACTAATGATAAATTTGGGAACATTAATCACACGCAATTACTGTTGCTGACATCAGCGATTTTTCAATAAATTAAATCAAGTCAAAAACCTGTTTATACATATGGAGAAGCCAAATATAGAAATTGAGACAAGACAAAAAATAAAAATAAAAAATAAAATAAAACGTGTAAACGGTGGAGTGTTCACATCTTCAAGGCAAATTGAAATTTTCTTTTGATCGACTATTTGAGCACGTGCCCTAAATTTTCAAAGGCGCGGTACTACACCAAGGATTTGTACTTAACAATAATTAATTAATATGATGGTTCTATATGGGTAAGGTTATCATTTTCTATGTAATGCGAGAAGTGGACAAGTGGTACAACAAAATTCGTGTGTGGGGTGATATAACTGTTAGGCGGGTGAATTCATTTTTTTCAATAAAATATTTTTTTATATTATGAAATATTATATTTTTGTTTATATTATTTTTTAGAGTATAATATTTAAAATTACATTGTAAAACATATTTTCTCTACAATTCAAACATAAACGTGTAAAACATATAGTTTATGTGATTCTAACTACAATTATTACAGTTATTATTATTATTATTTCATATTAAATCAGCTCCAATTGATATACTTTTACATTATACTATTAGAAAAATATAAGTATTTAACTTCTCCTAAGAATAAAAATTTTCAACTTTTTTTTTCTATATTAGATGAAACAAAATCCGTAGGGATTGCACGTCCATCCATGGTGTTCCCTTTTCAGTTATTGAGAAAATGAAGAAGAAAAGGCCAAATTATAGTGATTAATCATATATATTGTTAAACTAGTACAATACCGGTGTACTACACGGGTGATTGATAAAATAACTAAATGTACAACAAAAAATAAAAACAACAAATTTATATATTTTGTTGAGGTTGGAAAAAATAATTAAATAACGAACAATATATAACAATTTATAATAAAGAATTAAGTGCATTAATAATATTATTTCAAATTCTAAAAATTAATTTATATACATCACTAATTTTATTTATAATATTTTCATTTAAAACACACTAGTACAATACTCATGTACTGCACGGGGATTTGATAAGAAATTTATTTTTAAAATTAAATAATAAGAATAACAACAATTGTTTAAAATTAAATATATGTATTTATTAGGCTAATTTGAGGTTTTTATGGAAATTAATGAGTCAATTGAGAGTTTTCAAAAGAAATCAAGGTTATATCAGTCAATCAATACCATTACCAAATGTTCCAATACAACTTAATGGTTATATTAATCAAACTACTATGGAATTACCAAGTTAGTTTTTCAATAATTTTGGAATGTCCGACCCTTAAACTGTTGATTTAGAATAATATTATTTTTTATCTAAACCAAACTACGAAACATGTTTTTTTGCCAAGTAGGATTCTGAAGCGTGCGAGACTGCCACTTAGGCTCAGCGCATTATGCAATTATATATAGGGGATAAGAAAATAATATGAACAAAATGCAGAATTTGAAAAATAATATCATGTGCATATTATAGAAGGAAGATATTAAAAGATTTATATGGAATAGTTTAAATATATTAAATATGTGTATATATGTGGCAATCCAAACCTAAACTATTTGGTATAAAAAAATTAATAATTTTTACCTGAGCCATATTACAAAGCATACTATTTTGCCACATAAGATTATGGAGCGTGAGAGCCTGACAATTAGACTGGACGCGTTTTGAAATTATATATAAGGGGATAGTAAATTAGGCTGCTTTAACATCAGACCAACATTTTTCTTTTAAAATATTTTTATTAAAAAATATCATATTAAAAAATCATAAACATAAATATAATATTTTATTCTATCAGTACACATTTTGTTAACATAATATGATAGATAGACCAACCTATCTTACATCAAAATTGATGATTATATATCAGAGGGTCCGTTTGCTGTTAATGCATTTTTATAAATAGCGGTCAAATGAGGAAAACGTGCTCATATAATGTTTTCTTTATCCTACAAAATGGAAACGAAAAAAGAATCGGGTTGACTGAAGTCAACTTGTTGTTCTTCTACGATAGTGAAAATTTGACCAATGAAATTAAATAATTTGCAGTGGATGTATTTTGTCATGTGCCACATCAATCAATTATATACTAACATTTTGTAACATTTATTTTACTTTTAGCGAATCAACAATCAGTATTACGCGTTTTCACATTATTTTCATAATTATCAACTAAAAGAGTTGTATTTGTTATCAGAAACATACTTCCTTTTATTGGTGTAATTATGTTTCCTCAATCAGAGAAAATCCATTTTTGTCACCATTGAATAGCCCACTGAATATGAGCGCATCAATTCAAAGATCTAATTACTGGATACAGTTTTTTTTTTTTTTTTATTTTGTTTATTCTGTCAAGTTGATATGGTAATGTCAGGGTAAAAGAGAGATGAGATAATATTATTTAATTATATTGACAATATTGATAAAAGTTTAATTGAGTTAAATTTTGATTAAAATTAGTAAATAATACTGATCCGACCATAATCGATTAAAATCAGTTTTACTTCGCAACTAATCACGCCCTAAAGGTCTAATACCCTCTTATTCCAGGGTAGCTTTTCTTTAGTGAATTATTAGTATTATATTATTTAAAATTTGATTGTGCTAGATCAAATATAAACTATGTTCTAATTTAATTACTTGTTAATTTTTGGATTTTATTTTTGAATGAGGACACAAAAAAAAATGCAGAGAGCTATAAGTTTGTGGGCTTCAATACTATTTTACATNTAGTTGCTTTGGCTTTGCTTGTTTATAAAAAAACTAGAAAAAAAATCTATCTCAATTCAAAATCTAACTCAACCTCACTATCCTCAATATTATCATCATTTTTACACGATGGTATCATAAAGACTTTCGACCAACTAGAAATAACTGGAAATGGGTAGATATCTAGCTCGATTGTCGGTTGAACGCCTTCGAACCTGCAGAACTCTCACACTGAAAATTTTTTTCCGGTGAAGCAGGAGACAGCGAGGCGCTGCTAACCCTCTCCCGCACTAGACACTAGGTGGGCAGGAAAAGTCTCGTGCCTCATCTGTGGCCGAAGCAAAGGGCCGCGGGCTGCCGACAGAGAAATAGGGCAGAGAAAAATTGAGTTTTTTTGTAATAGGTACCTCAAATTTCAGAATTAACATACAAAAAGATTATAGCATGAAGTATCATACTTTTCTATGCTCCATATGTTGAGTCTTACAATCATAAGACAAATAATTTTCTATAAAGTAGCTAATCCAAATATTAATTCCTCTAATCCAAATATTAATTCCTCTAATTCTTTTGCTCGTTACTTCTTCTAAGTCAGTAATTAGTCAATGCACATAATATCTTTCTACCAAATACCAATCATTACAAAAAAGAAATGATAACAAAGTATGTCCGTAATTAGCCAATGCTCATAATTTTTTTCCAAACGACATAACATAGAAATAATAACAAAGTAAGTTGACTGAAATAGTTACACCTAAATAACAGAAGACCTGGCGTAAAATAAATTGAAATTTAAGTTGGAATAGTGTATGGTTAAAAATCAAATTCTAATAGATATGAATAAAATTTACACTTACTACAAAACATTATAAGTCAAACGCAACGCGAGAGACATACAATTACAAAACATAATCGTAAGTTAAAAACGACAAAAGTAGCAATTACACTCGGAAAATTTGAGTTTTATACAAAATATAGAGAGGCAGGTTGTTACTGGTCCCTTTTTACGTCGATCCGGTCTAATAAAATACATGCAAACTTTCGGCTGGAGTATTGAAAAGTTCTTCGACTAGAGTAAACAATCAATCATATTAAACAGAAATAAAACAAGTCTCATCTAAGTTTTTGTGTTGACTAGAGTCACAGGACTTCAAGTAGAGCTCCAATTCCAGCTTCGCCTGACCCGAATCCAGACCCGCTTCTACACCCAATTCGAATACGCCAACCGGGCCGGAGCCCTTTTTGGGATCTTTCCTAACGGGCTTTCGGAGCTCCAATCTTTCACATGGCCAACCGCCTCCTCCTCTCAATACGACGACGTTTTCACCTGGCGAAACATTATCGTCCTGCAATTACCAAAACCAAATCCTAACTAATTTTGAGAATCATCTCATACACTTTACTGTTATATTATCCCCCAAAAAAGACGCCATTTCTTTTTCCCCATACAAATAACTAACTGACAGAGAAATTAATTAAAATGATAAAATAAAATGAACCATAATTAACCATACATCGGAAATCTCATCATCACTAACTATCGCCTCATCGTCGACTAGAGATGGTCAACGGCCGCTCGAAGAACATTCCGACGCCTGCGGAGACGGAGGAACCATCCGAAACTCCTTCCGTCGCATTTCTCCGCCGAAACACAGCTGACAGACGGCGACGGTGGGTTCAGGGCTGGATCCGGCGGCGGACCACGGCGTCGGTGACTGGCAGACGTGGCAGAGGAGGTTCCTCGAATGCCGCGCCACCAAGAAGTTGGCGGAGTGCACCTTGGCGTCGCAGGTCCAGCATAAGCTCGCCTGGTCCGGCCCGCAGTGTATCCGTGCCGTTTCTTCACACAGATCACATTCCTTCATCTTATGCGAGAAGAAGTCAAAACGCTTGGAAGCAAAAGAAAAGGTAAATTAAAAAAAATGTGAGGTTGAAGAACAGAGGTGAAAACACACAATATGTGTGATAAGATTGTAGACAGAAGAAAGGAAGAAAGAGGAATTAAAATTGGAAAATTCTCTCTTTAATTTACCTTACAGTCAAACCGACCAAAACAGCCTAAATTTCTAATAGGAAGTACGAAAATTAGAAAATATCACAACCATTTTATTTATTTTTTACTTTGGACTCATTGGGAAAGTGAATAGTTAACGAATATGACTTATATGAGATGTTGGTTGAAATAATNTAAAAAAAAAAAAAAAACCATTTTAATAAACGATTTTGATTAATTGTTTGAACTCAATTTGTTTAAGAAATTAATGACTACATCTCCTACTTTTACTAAAATCGTATTTGAGAATCGTTGAATTGGTTTCACAACTTTATTTGTAGCTTGTTTATAAATACTTTTGATGATTTAGGCAATAATCATCACGGCCGTTCTTAAATTTTCCAGCCATTGTTTATAAAATATGATTACGTAAAAAAAATACGTTGAATTCTATCACAAACCCGAATTTTGAGATTCCGAATCGAGAGAAAACTACTCGAGGAGCGCAAAATGCGGAAATTTCGAACACTGCAAGAGATATTTTGGGGCACGAGGGGTGGTGACTCCCAAACGACAGCGTTTTAGGGGAGCGACTGACTGAATGGTGAGTGGGAGCGCCAGGTGTCGGTAGCTTGGGGAGGGATGATTTTTCACTTGTGCGGTGTGGGAGTAATGTGTGGTTATAAAGTGATGACGTGGCGGAATAATGAGTGGTGTGCGGATTGCGTGGAGGATGTTGGGGCTACTAGGACCCACGTGATGTACCAGCTGCCTAACACCATAATAAATAAATAGTTATTTTACAGAGCATTTTCAATGGTCTGTTATATTTGAACAAAAATTACAAAATTTTGTGTACTGTCAACTTTGTCATCATAATTGATATGTGTAGAATTATAATTAGTTGGAGATAGATATATATATTTAATAAATAATATAATATATAATAGAGGATCCCTATAAATACTTTTATGTCTAAAAAGATTTTTAAACATTTTGAATGTCACCTTAGATTTATTATGCTACATTAATAAAAAAGAGCAATTTATAGATCATCATGACTTTGATGTTGGCGGTTGAGCACTTTGTATGGTGGGTACTTGAAAGTTGGAATAATAAGGTACGTTGGCATTGGCTTATTAAAATCGGTTTTGCGGATAAGTTTTCCAAATATTATTTAGAGTTATAACTCAAATTTAATTTAATTTAATCCAACTTTTTTAATAATAATATTTATAATTAAATAAGGAAAAATCCATTATAACAATAGACATTGTTGAGATTGTATCGAATTCAAGGTCTGAATTTTATTCTTTCTCAATATAACTTTACGTTATTCTCAATTTAAGACTCATTTTTATATTTGGCTTATCAATGGTTCAACTAATTTTATTTTATGATATTATTATGTTAACAAAAATATTATTATTTTAATATATATTTACATACTTATAATAAAAAATAATAAATTAAACTTGAAAGATAATGCAAACAAATTATATTGTTGATGATGACATGTGTTCCATTTTGGAGTTTAGAAAATAAGAAGCGCAAATGGGCTATGGATGAAAAATGTGCATCCCCAAAATATTAAAACTTGGAAGGTGGCACAACTACCAAAAGACAATAGGACGATAAGATGCAAGTGGATATTTGCAGAGAAAGATTAACTTTCTCATAAATTTATGTTTGCTACAATGCAAGAATGGTGGCTGAAGACTACGCTTAGAATGAAGGAGTTGATTATACTTATGTGTTTTCTCTAATTGTTAAATACTCTTCCATTAGAATTTTATTGGCCTTAGCAGCACAACTGAATTCGGACCTCGCTCAACTTGATGTGAAGACAATGTTTTTGCACGGCAATTTAGATGAGGAGATCTACAGAACGCAGTCAGAAGGATTCAAAATTCTTGGAAAAAAAGAACTAGGTCTGTACGTTGAACAAATCATTGGACGGGTTGAAGGAATCTTCGCTATAGAGTTATAAACGATTTGATAAGTTCATGATTGGGCAGAAATACAAGTGAAATCGATGTGAATATTGTGTATTTCGCAAGTAGAGATTAATCATTTGAAGACTCGGTTGAATCAAGAGTTTGAGATGAAGACTTACGAAAAATTATGTAAATACTCAAATGGAGATAAGCAAGGATAGAACAAGAGACAAGATTTATTTGACCTAGAAGCAATATTTATATATATATATATAATATAGGAAAATACTACAATCCCGTTACGGAACCATTCCGTTGGGATTGTAACCGTTAGATCATCAAGTAACCGTCAATGATGCTTGATCTAACGGTTATAAATCCCAACGGAATGGTTCCGTAACGGGATTGTAGCCTTACCCTATAATATAATAAATATATTATGTTTATGTTATCTATATATATATAATTCCTAGCTAAGCAATAAATTTTACCTAATAAATAAAACCTAATAAATTTTACCTATGTGGCAAATCATTAATAAAACCTAATAAATAGAACTTAATAAATTTTATTTATGTGGCATTAATACACCCAATCTCATTAATAAGAAAATATTTCATTACATTTTTTGGGTTAATTAAGACAAAAACCATTATATTTTATGTTAATTGATTAATAATTATATTTTTTATTGAATAATATAATAGTTAATATTAAAATTAGTAATTATATTTTATACTAAATAATATATGAAAGTTATATAAAATTATATTTTACACTAAAATCAATATTTTTTTATATGATGAAGATGTTGTTTATTAATAAATTAATTTTGCTTATGTCATAGTAAAATTTCTTAAAACCACATAAGCAATTGTTATAATAAATTTAATATTTTTCAGCTAATTAATTGGTCATGATCACTCAAAATTATAAAAAGTATATATTTATTGCATTTTATGCAATCAATATAGTGATTCGTATGCAATCAAATCGTGTGTACTATTTATTTTAACCAATGATCAAATTTTAGAATATAATACTATTATATAATTTATAAATTTAATATTATATACATAAATATAACTTATAATACTATATGTTTGAAATATAATACAATTATATAACTTATAATTTTTATATTATATACATAAATATAACTTATAATATTTAATTTTATTTACATCTGTGCAAATGCACAAGGTCGAATACTAGTAGAAATTAAAATTAAAAACCCTACATGATTTACTTCTACTCCCAATTCCCAATTTCTCCAAATTGTCGACTTTCCCAAATTGTCGTCGTCTCCGCGTCTCTACTCTCGATTCTCACTTTTCATGTCTCATCCCCTCATCATCCCATATCTCATCCTCTCGTCCCATCAGCGTACGACACACACGTTTGTCGTCCAGGAAGTCGGCGGGAGTGAAGAGCTTTAACACCGGCTGGTCGCCGTCCAGCGGGGTGTCGGTCCAGGAGCTCGTTGACGCCGGGCGCTGAGCTTGGTGGTGTCGGGTGACTCGGTCTCGTCCTT